TGCTCTAGAGCCTGTCTTGTGTAGGATTTCTCCTTCTGCCTGGCTCCCGAGCTAGTGGGGACGCTGTCTGCTCTGTGGTACAGAGTCCTGATGACTCCTAACTTGTGCTCCAAAGGGTGATGGGAGTCAAACTGCAAATACTGGTCTGTGTGGGTGGGTTTGCGGTACACCTCAGTTTGCAAATGTCCTCTATCAGAGACTGAGACCTCACAGTCCAAGAGAGCCAACTTGCCATTTTTTACATCTTCTTGTGTGAACTTGATGTATTTATCCACAGAGTTGATGTGATCAGTAAAATGTTGGACTTCCTGAGATTTAATTTTAACCCAGGTGTCATCAACATACCTGAACCAATGACTTGGTGGTGTCCCTGAAAAGGACGTCAAGGCTCTCGTTTCTACCTCCTCCATGTACAGGTTGGCAACAATAGGAGAAACTGGAGACCCCATAGCACACCCCTGTTTCTGCCTATAATATTGCTCCCCATATGTGAAGTAGGTTGACTGCAGGCACAGTTTCAAGAGTTGACACAGTTGTTCTGTAGAAAGCGTGGTCCTGCTGCTCAGAATGGTGTCTGATTTTAATCTTAAACTGACCACCTCTACTGCATCATCAACAGGAATGCACGTAAAGAGTGATGTGACATCAAAAGAGACCATTGTTTCATCAGTCTCCATGATGACATCCCTCACCTTGTCCACAAAGTCCATGGTGTTCTGTATGTGGTGTATCAAATCTATAGATGTTTTTATCTCGGGTAAGATTTTTACAAGTGCTAACAGAGTTGGAATACACTAGTTTTACTTATTTTTCACTATTTTTACTTATTTTTATTATTCTTTAACAGATACTAACAGAAAATATATAATAATGAATTTTAATAACTACTAACATGATTTAAGACATATCATTTTAGAATGATGTTGTATAATACTTATCAAGGACTTGTGAAATTTGATACATGAAGAAAAACAATAAGTGTTGCTGATAAAATGCTAAATGATAGGGATGACTCAGTTCAGGAAAACGACAGGAACAGGATGATGGGTAGAAGGATGGACTCTGTCTGGCTGGTTGCCAGCAGGGTGTTGTGCTGTTTGTGTCTCTTATCACCTGTTCAGGTTATCTAAGCTGAAGAAGCTCCAGGAAGGTGAACACAGGGGTCACCTGTGTGAGTTTGTGATCATCGTTCCCAGAGAGGTGTCAGATGAGTATGAACTGGAATATGAACCACTGACTTACCAATAATGAATGATAACTGATAATTATATATTGATAATGAAAATTATAGAAATTTAGATAGATGACTGGAGTTTTGTGATATTGTGGGAGAAGGATGTTTGTTCTTTTTTCCTGATAATGCAGCTTCAAACGAGTCGCTGACAGAGAGGTTGCGAGTCCAATGACAGGGGTTTGAAGGATGGAGGCCGGACAGATATCCGAGGAAATGCCCCTGATGAGGAGAAATGGAGTGGAGTGCCAGGGGGGGAAAAGTCACTGGTTCTACTCCCTGAGCTGAGAACATCACGCATCAAATGAGGGTGTTATCATTTATCATGAATGAGGGTTCTTTAATAATAAATAATAATAATAATCATTTTATTTAAAAAGCGCCTTTCATGACACACAAGGACACGTTACAGTAAGAACAAAGATCAACAGGAATAAATTACATAAAGAATATAAAATACATAAAGAATATAAAATACATACAGAATATAAAATGCGTAAAGAATATAAAATACATACAGCAAAGTTAAGGATAAGCGAGTCTAAAGAGATGTGTTTTCAGAGCAGTCTTGAATAGAGAAAGAGAGGTGGTGTTTCTTAAGTCAGGGGGTAGAGAGTTCCAGAGATGAGGAGCAGAGCAGGTGAAGGCCCTGCTCCCCATGGTGGAGAGGCGGGCAGAGGGTACATGGAGGTGTAGTGAAGAGGAGGATGTGAGAGAGCGAGAGGGGATGA